CTTCAAAAGACATAAAATTATTTTAATGTGCTTGAGGTTAAGTTTTATAAATAGCTTTTTATTTTGTTTTTAAAGATATGTAGTAGGACTGGGAGATGGCTCAGCAGGTGAGGGCATCTTCAAGAAACCCTGATGATTTGAAAAGAATTGACTTCAGAAAATTTTCCTCTGACCCCCATGGGTGCCTTCACACATATATAATAGAAGTTTGTAAAAGATTATTTAATAAAGGTTTGGGGCCTGGAGAGATGGCTCAGCAGTTAAGGGTGCTTGCTGTTCTTCCAGAGAACCTGAGTTCAGTTCCCAGAACCCACATCTGGCAGCTCACCACCACTAGTAACTCTAGCTTCAGGGGATCCAATACCCTCTTCTGCCCCTCACCAGCACTTGCACACACATGGAATATACATGTGCATGTGCAAGCACACACATATATAAGAATAAATCTAAAAAAAGATATACAATAAACATTTCCCTAAATCATTAAATAACTGACATTGTCTTTAACTTTGAATAGTGTTAAATTAGTGATATTTTGTCTATATCTATGTGATATCTCACATAGATAACCTAATTTGGAACTTTTAAATGTAGATTTTGTATTATCCACTTTGGAAAACCCCAAAATTTTAACAAAATTGCCAGTGTTCCAATTACAAAAGAACACCAGACTTCTTTTTTAAAAAACAATTTCAGGATCAAGTTTTAGAACATTTTTTTTTTTTTTAATTTTGCAATACAATTCAATTCTACATATCAGCCACGGATTCCCTTGTTCTCCTCCCTCCCGCCCCCCTCACCTTCCCCCCAGCCCGCCCCCCCATTCCCACCTCCTCCAGGGCAAAGCCTCCCCCGCGGACTGAGATCAACCTGGTAGACTCAGTCCAGGCAGGTCCAGTCCCCTCCTCCCAGGCTGAGCCAAGCGACCCTGCATAGGCCCCAGATTTCAAACAGTCGACTCATGCAATGAGCACGGGACCCAGTCCCATTGCCTGGATGCCTCCCAAACAGATCAAGCCAATCAACTGTCTCACCCACTCAGAGGGCCTGATCTAGTTGGTGACCCCTCAGCCATTGGTTCATAGTTCATGGTAGAACGTATTTTTATTTGTGTTTATGTTCCTGTGTTTGCACACTGAGGCCAGAAGGGGACATTGGATCCTCTGGAGTTGGAGTTACAGGTGGTTGGTTGTGAGCCATCTGACGTGGGTCTTCTGGAAGAGCAGCAAGCACTCTTATCACTGAGCCGTCCGTCTGTCCAGCCCCCAGTTTTTCAAATCAGTAGTTCTTTGTGTTTTTAAAGATGCCTTGCTGTGCTACTCCTAGCTATAGGAAGTATCTAGAGAGGATGTTGACAGGTTGTTGAAGCCGCATGTATCAATAATGAATTGTTGATGTGGTAGTCATCTTCGATGGCTGTGTAATCACAAGTCCTTTGGCTCTGACTTTGTCTGTTAGGAACGAGGATGAGCTAGACGGTCTCCGAAGCCTCCTTTGGCACTCCAGTTTTTATTGGTCTTGAAATGACAGCTTACTTTCCATATCATGTTGATAGCTTCGTTTTCTAGTCAACTATTCGTTACAGTTCATTTTTTCTTTTTTATTAATTAAACTTATTCATTTGTTTTCCATCTCCACTGCAGTTTCCCTTCCCTCCTCTCCTCCCATCCCCCCCACCTCCCCTCCACCTCCCTATAGTGCATTTTGAATAGGACGAATGATCTTCTATGTTTTAGGAAAGTTCCCACATGCCGTCCTCCCCACTATCAGTCTACCACAGCAGGGCAGTGTATTTGTTACAGCCAAGGCACTCAGATTGACACATTGCTGCCGTCCCAAATCCAGAGTTTTGAGTTTTACACTGTATGCTGTGTATTCTGTGGCTTTTGACAGACACATGTCATTATAATATCATAAACAGTAGTTTAACTGTCAGAAAACCCTCTCTCCTGTGCCTGCTCAGCCTCTGTCCTCTTAGACGCTGATCTTTTACTGTACCCATCGTTTTGCCATTTCCAAAATGTCATATAGCTGAGGCCATGCAGTATGTAGTCTCCTCAGGTTGACCTTTTCCACACGGTGATGTGCACTTGAAGTTTCTACATGTTTTGATAGCTCCTTTCTTTCCAGCACAGACTAACATTCCATTTTTGGGTTTACCACAGCTTATTTGTTTTTTCATTAAACAACAACAGCATCATGATTACTTCCAAGTTTTGACTTTGTGAAGATAACTGCTGTAAACTTATGTATGCAGGATTTTAAATAAGTGTATTTATTTTTATTTTATTCATATGAATATTTGCCTGTGTGAATGCATGTGCACACAGGTGTCCCTGGTGCCTGTGGAGGTGAAAGGGTGTTGAATCCTATGGTACTTGAGTTACAGGCGGTTGAAGATGCCATGTGGGTGCTGGGAACTGAACTTGGATCTTCTACAAGAGCAGCCAGTGCTCTTAACTGCAGAATCACCTCTCCAACCCTATGTGCAGGTTTTATGTGGACACTGCATTTTAACTAATTTGGATAAACCTTTATTTTTAATTTTATGTGTGTGGGTGTTTCCCACATGTGTGCCCACGGAGGGCGGAAAGAGGGCGTCGATCTCCTGGAACTGGAGTTTGAGATGGTGTTGAGCTGCTGTGTGGGTGCTGGGAATTAAATCCTGGTCCTCTGGAGAAGCAGTCAGTGTTCTTAACCCTGAGCTCTTTCCCCAGCTCCCTGGATAAACCTTTAATTTATTTCTCATTTGAGAGCCTCTAGCCTTATTTTAAATAAACTCAGAAAGAGTGTGCCATGATAGTTCTCAAAGCTGGAATCAACACTCTTTGTATAGGAAGGCTTACATTGCAGGAAGGTAAACGTGCTTTGCAAAGGGTAAATGTTTTCTTTCTGACTTTTTTCCTGGGGTGCAAATTTAAATTTGATGATCAATGAGCATCTTGGTCATAGCTTACAAACCCAAAAGACTCCTTTCTGATCTTGAAAGGAAAGGTGAAGATTCTAACATTAGCTATGCTGTGTTGATCTGAAAACAATGTAATATGGATGCTTGCCCATCAGATACTGGACTTTACAAGTGACATGAAATGGATGTAAAATGACAGACAGGTCTGGCATATATCCCAGCTGTTGGCTGGTAAAGATGGTTCCTCAGATGCCAATCCTTTCTGCCTCTTGTTCTTTATTTCCCATATTTTTGCCCTTCTCCTCTTTTTTGTAGAATGCAAATCAAATAAACTAGAGCAATGTATAAATTAGAAACCTGATATGAATTATAAGATCTGGTTTCATCACCTCTAATGTTTTTAGTTCTTGGCTGTTTTAATATGGTTTGTTTCCATGCAACAAGAAGATGTGTTTTATGTTAAATGTCTTGTTAAAATATTTTTAACATTATTTCTTTTGCCAGAGCTACCTTTTTAAGCCATGTTTCAAGAGAATCTACAAATGTAATGTGTGTGTGTGTGTGTATGTGTGTGTATGAGAGAGAGAGAGAGAGAGAGATAAATCTACAGGTGATAACAAACCATATTTAACTGATGGTTAGTGATGTTTATATGTACAGTTGATATTCTCTCAGCCTTTGCTATGTAACTTGACAATTTCAGAGTTTTAATTGTCTTTATTAACAACGAAATTTTGGTTTCTCCCGGGGCTGTTTGTAATGCCTATAATCCCAGCATTCCAGAGGCAGAGTCAGGGCCATTGTGAAGTTGAAACCAGTCTGAGGACAGAATGACATCTTGTCTCAAAAATGAAAAAAGAGAAAGTTTTCTGTTCAAACATTCTTCAGAGCAAGTTTTCTATTCATTTTAATGAACATTGTTTATGTTTTAATAGAATTTATTTAATAGAAAAATTTAAAATTGTTCAAAGTATGCTTGAATCTGCACTTTACAAACGTTTATTATATAAGAGTTGCAGGTCCTCACAAGGTTTTAGGGGCTGCTTTTTTTGTAAGGAGGCAATGTGTCATTACTGTACAAGAGATCACTCTTTCATGTTGATTGGATTAAAGCAGAAATATTTAGTCAAAATTGTTGGTATAGGAATCTTTGAAAAGACCAAACCTATTTCTTTATTTTTATTACATTTTTAAAATGCATATGCCATTTTTTACATGTGGAAATCAGAGGACAACTTGTGGGAATTAATTCTCTTTCCACCATGTGGGTGCTAGGTATTGAACTCAGGTTGTCAGGCTTGGTGACAAGCATCTTTATCCACTGAGCCATCTCATTGGCCCTCAAACTGAATTTTTAAGAGAGCTTTGTAGGGCTGGAGACATGGCTCAGAGGTTAAGAGCACTGCTTGCTCTTCCAAAGGCCCTAAGTTCAGTTCCCAGCAACCACATGGTGGCTCACAACCATCTGTAATGAGATCTGTTGCCCTCTTCTGGCCTGCAGGGATATGTGCAGATAGAACACTGTATACACAATAAATAAATGAAGAGAGAGAGCTTTGTATTATTATTGCTTTCAGTCTTTTAAAAACAATTCTCTCATAGGGCAGTTGGCTGACTTAGGCCGTCTCATAGATGGTGAGGGGGAGTGATTCAGCCAAGGCCACCTTGAGGTAGTTGCAGAATTGAGACTAGACCAGACTGTCTGACTTGGTGTCACGCTGCTTTTATGAGTGTTACCTTAACAAACTATCTTTCACAACATTTCACCACCGTCAATTTTGTAACGTTCTGGTTACTAGCTAGAAGAAATATGAGCTAGTTCTTCAGCATGACAACAAAATAATGGGACTAGAGGACTGTGGGAGACCTTGGAGTGGAAGGGCTTGGTGATCTAGCTTGTATTTTTATGGGTAAACTGTGTGGTGCTGATCAACTTCAGTCCTGTAGACAGGACAGTTCAGACGATAGCACTGGGTGAATGTAAGAGAGAAATGCTCACGACGAGGCCAGGGCTAAAACGGTTAGTTCTGTCATGTGTCCCTACTATGCGCAGCTGCATCCAGTGTGTGATTCATTGTGCTGTCTCTTACAGATGTTGAGCATTTCCTCTAAGGAGAAGTACCCATTATTCACTTTTGTAAATGGCCATTCCAGAGACTTTGATTTTACATCTACTGCAGCCAGTGAAGAAGACCTTTTCTCAGAAGATGAGAAGAAAAAATTCAAAAGATTTAGCACAGAAGAGTTTGTCCTACTTTAAAGATTAATGCATTTGTGTTTATGAGAAGAGCTTGACCACGGGGGAGCCACGAAGAGTGACAAGCACGCTCGAGATCCTCTGTCATCAGATCCCAACTGTGTGTGTCCTTTTAACAGTGCACATTTGGAAACATCCAAACTTTAAAGGTATTTTTCTGAAAGGAATGACTGGATGGCTCTTGCTTTCTAGTGATAAATAACAATGATTCCGGTTGCATTCCTGTTTCCCAAAGATGTGCTAATGAAACACTACCTTAACTGTAAGCCTTTTGGTCCCCATCATCTTCTACTTGAGCCCATTGGTCCCCTGGAGGTTTTGGTACAGGTTCCCTCAAAGATTGGGATCACCAAATTAATTTTCAAAGCCTTGCTTGGTGTTAATGACAGGAGAGCAGAGACTGGGTCTTCAGAACTTCCCAGGCTCCTGCTGTTAAGGGAACCAGAGAATGCTTTGGCTTTGTATATCTACATAACTAAATGGACACATAAAATCATGTAAGCAGGATTTTCAGGCAATACTTAATAATATGGTTTTATAATAGCTACTCATTATGCTTGCTGCAGAGCGATGAGGAATAAATATAAAGCATTGTGTTTTCTTCCTTCCTTCCTTTCTTTTCTTTTTTTTTTTGTCCTGGGGATTGAACCCAGGGCCTTGTACATGCTAGGCAGGTGTTCTACCTCGGAGCTGTCCTAAAGTGTCGATTTTTCTCATGTATTTAAAAGTTAAGTTGTCAGTAGTAACTATATTTATTTTAATTAGATAAAGGAAATTCCAGAATAGTTGTATCATTTGTTCCTATCTTAAAAGTGAAATTTTATGGAAATCCAATGTATTACCCAATTTTTAAGTCTAAAGATGAATACCAAGAAAGATATGGATGCTTTCTGATTTTGCTGTTTGTTTAAAGTGATGTCATTTAGAAGCTGAGACTATTTACAGGTTAAATCTGCCTTAAGTGTGTTGTGAGTTTACTTAAAGACAAATTTGTGATATATTGAGAGTTATTACTATGCCAGGTTTATAAAACAAATACTTTAATAAAAATGTGAGAACATAAAATACTTTTGTTTTGGTTTTAATGTTTGGATTATTTTAATTCTCCTATTGAAAAAATCCATTATCTCAAATGAATTCTATTTGTTTCTGATGAATGGAAGTAATGCCTGAAGCAGAGGATTAACTCTTTTACAAAACTTCTGTGTTCCAGGGTAGAATGTGACTTACAAAGATGTCAAAGTTTGTATCATGTAGTCATTGTCCTCCTGTGTCAGAGAATCCCTTTGTTTACAGTTGCATGTGAAGCCAAAACAGAGGGCATGAGATAGCTTCAGTAAGCCTGAAGAGTAAAAACAGGTTTGACATTTCCCATTGAGGATGGTTTATTGAATTGAAGCAGTCTAAAATCTAAATTTTCCCTTTGCCCTAGATAAATCTGGACAAATTAAGTTCAATACTAATTTTCCTAGAATGTCAAGGCAGTATAAGAATGAAAAGCCAAGAATATGCCAGATTTTATGTGCTGCATTCCTCTCATCTCAGATACTGCAGGATTGGACAGTAGACACATCTCCTGCGAGCATTTACATCGTTACGTGGATCAGCACTGATTGTAAGTGTTCCTGTGTAAGAGCTCTCTATAAAAGCTTGTAGTTACAGAAGAACTCTTTACTTCCCTAGCTCTTTGAAAGATAATATTAAAGTAGAATATTGGAGTGAGACAACATTCTACCCGGACAATGGTAAGGAGTGAGGAGGTAACAACTGTTTACATTAAATTCTATTTAACATGCTGTTTCAGAATATTGTGCAGTCATAACAAAGAAATCTTACAACACAATCATCTACCTGACTGGGAATAACGGTCTAGAATCAGAAATTTTTAGCATAATAATAAGCACCTAAAGTGTATTTAGTAATGTATAGGGGTGAATGAATGTATGGGTAGAAATGAAGAGTGATGGGTTTATCTTGGTTGTTTACTGATTCACCTTCATCTGAGGACCAGCCAAAGCTAGGCTTCTCTCTCACTAGGGAAGCAGCAGCTGGACTCTACCATTAGGGTCAGGCTAGAAGCACTTTGCTTGGAAGCATGTCAGGGACGCTTCGGAGTGCTTTCTTCCAAGGCAGAGTCTAAGATGAGCTCTCATTAGAGTCCTGATGGAGCAAGTCTCCTATTGAAGATACTAGACCTTACAGGAACATTTCAGAAATGACTTTGTACAAGTTTTGATAGAACTTTTTAAACAAGCGTTTCCTTTGTCTTCTTTATAAGGCTTGATGTTGTGAATTAGTTTTTTTTTTTTTTTTTGCCAGTGTGTAAACCACCAGCAGGCAATTTTAACAGTCATCCTTTCCTGAATAAATGAATGAATAAATAAAAAGATCCTTTATAGTGTGAGTATTTCCAGAAAATTTCCCTGAGGTTTTCATTTTTCTGCTATTACATCAAACCAACCTCATTGAATCTGTGTTAGTGAGAAGATAATCTTAGGAGATTACTAATCCAGATCCCTTTGGGATCTGTCCACCTTAGAACTTGACACTGTCCGAGGCAAACACAGTTTTGTCAGTTAGTTCTAACTCTAGAGAACTGACTTTAAAACAGAAAACAACACAATGACTTCCCTGTGTAATCCATCCAATTTTGGGTTAGAAACCTGCTTTTTAGTGGTCTCCAGTTAGCCTCTCTTCTTCTGTGCCAGTGGTCCAGCTTTTCCCTTCGGCCTCAGAGAAGTTTCACTGTCATGGTTGGTTAGAGATCACCTTCAATAGCTTGTATTTGACGTACAAGTGTTTTTGACTACATGTTCAGGTGCAAGCATTAAAAGAAAAACAAACAAAAACAACGATAAAGAATTTTCCAGAACCAGGAAACAAGAGGAAGGGCAGGTAAATAATAAAGAAGCAATCTGTAAAAATAAAATGACTAAATGTGTTGTTACCGAAGCAGACACGAGATGAGGAAGACACTACATTTAAAGTATTGGTGAGATAGAAGCTGGATATCAAGACATTGTGAGAGAAGGGGCGGGAGCTGGCTCAGGGGGCAGGAATGCTGGTTGTACAGTCATGAGGACCAGAGTCTGCATCCCCAGAACCCATGAAACAGACAGTGTGGCTGTGTACTCACCTAACCCTAGCCCTGCTGGAGGTGGAGACAGAAGGATTGCTGGGACTTGCTGGCTAGCCAAGATGGCAAGCTCCAGGTTCAGAGAGAGACCCTGTCTCAGGAGAATGTGGCTGAGAATGATAAAGCAGAACACCTAATGTCCTCCTGTGGCCTTTGCATGTGTGTGCGTGGGTGTAGGGAATCCTCCATTCTGCCCTCCCTACCCCCCACCCCCACAACCAAGAATAGAAAGGGAAAAGCAATTGCTTAGAAATAAGACGAGATAAGGGGTTCTTGTTTCTGTCTCTTCCCCAGAAGCCATGTTGGGCAGCTCCAGAGGCACTAGGTGTAGAGGGTCCCCCACTCCCCAAGTTGTGCAGTGTGTTTACATATGGCTTGCTTTTCACTTGGTAATGTTCACACCAGCTCGCTTGTTTCAGAATACAGCAAATGAATGCAGGGAGATTAGGTCTGGTGAGGAAATCCTGCTGTCAGGAGTAATTAGAACAGGAGTTTTAGTGGGGAGATGCTCCACATGTATATTTAAATTATTTACTGTATTTAATAGATATGACAAGAAAAAATGCACCCACCTTTTGCTGTCTTAATATGTTGCTTTCATCTTTCTGTAGGTCATGTTCATATAGTCCTTGAAGCATGTCCAGTTGGTTGAATTTGGATTTTTATTTGATTAATCTGTTTATTCTTGGTGAAGAGGGTCACCACACATTCAGCATTTCATGTTTTTATTTATGTAGCAGTGTTATTTTAGCCTCTGGCTTACATTGGTGTTCATTCCTGTGACCTGTGACCTGTGACTGCTTTCTAGCCATAACCTTTATGACTGCTAGCCCAAGTCTACACCAAGAGAACACTCTTATTTTTGCTTATAATTTGTTCTTATAAAGACTTGAGACAGTTGAATCTGAAGGGGCTGAATAATAGATGTTTTAAAATAATAGTTTAAGAAGATTTAAAATATTATAAAAGGGAATTTAAAATATTTAAAAATATTTAAAGCTCAAATTATTTTTAATCATATAGGCTTGTCATGACCTTGATATAGCTATAACTCATTTTCTTTTTCTTTTGTACAGTAGAACATATACTTGTCTACCTTAAAATAGATATACATTTGCCTGAGCATTTCACAGAGGCTGATTATTTCTGTCTGTATATTAATTAAATTTATGAGATCTGCATTTCTTACCAGTAATTTTACCACTTTTATTTTTCTGCCTTCATGACATAGTTAAAAAATAACTGGTAATAAAATCCAAAAATTGTGTAGTCTGTTATTTAAGGTAGTTGAGGGGTACTAGATTATATAGCTACTGTACATCTAAGTCCCAGATAAGTCTATTTAGTGCAGTAATTTGAGTTAGCAATTATTGCTACAACAAAATACCTGTATAATCAACTTTAAAAGGAAAGGCCTATTTTAGCTCATACTTTGGGAGGTTTCGATCCATAGTCAGTGGTCCTGTTTATTCATAGTCATTGGTCCTGTTTATTCATAGTCAGTGGTCCTGTTTATTCAGAGTCAGTGGTCCTGTTTATTCAGAGTCAGTGGTCCTGCTTGCTGTTTGGCCTGTGGTAAGGTAAGCATATCACAGCAGGAGAGCATGGTGGAAGCAGAGAGAAGGAAGGGTCGGGTCACAATGTCCCCTTCAAGGGTCATTCCTGTCCACTAGACTCCACCTCCTAAAGATTCTGCTACCTCCCAGTGGTAGCTGGGGCCAAGCCTTTAACACTTGGCCTGTGGGGGCCACTTACCCAACCAGAGTGTCATCACAGTTGGTTTTCTGTTTTAAACAACATCCCTGCCCCTACCTCTCTCTTTTAAGGCAGGTTCTCACTTTGTAGCTCTGACTGCCTTCCAACTGGCTGTGTGGAGCAGGTTGACCTACAGAGCTCACAGACCTGCCTGTCTCTGCCTTCCGGGTGCTGGGATTAAAGGCGAGCGCCACCACCACTCCGCTAGCATGACTTTTTTACGTGGTGATGTACTTCACTCTTTTTGTGATTGAATAATATCCCAGTGGGTTGAGAAACCACATTTTGTTTATTCATGAATTGATGAACGTTTGTATCATTTATACTATTTGTGGCCTCTATGTAAAATGTGCTATTGTCAGCCATGTCCATGATTTTATATGGATGTATATTTTTATTCTCCTGGGCATATACTTAGGAATTGAAATTGCTAGTGATGTGGGAAACTTTATGTTTAACTATCTGAAGAACTCCCAAACTGTTTTCCAAGGTGGCTACACCTCTTCATAGCTCTATAGCAGTGTGGAGGGAGAGGCCCCTCCAGCTTCTCCCCTTCCTCACTCACCTTGATTTCCCCAGTTAGTAACAGCGTTTGACATCTTGCCGTATGCTTTCCAGTTTTCATACTACACTGTAGTGGCTGGTCCTGTGTGTCAACTTGACACAAGCTAGAGTCATCAGAGAGGAAGGAGCCTCAGCTGAGGAAATGCCTCCATGAGATCCAGCTGGAAGACCTTTTCTCAATCAGTGATCAGTGAGGGAGGGTAGTGCCAGTTGTCGGTGGTGCCATCCCTGGGCTGGAGGTCCTGGGTTCTAGAAGAAAGCAGGCCGAGCAAGCCATGGGGAGCAAGCCAGGAAGCAGCCCTCTTCCCTGGCCTCTGCACCAGCCCCTGCCTCCAGGTTCCTGCCCTGCTTGAGCTCCTGTCCTGACTTCCTTGGTGATGGACAGCAATATGGAAGTGTAAGCCGAATAAACCCTTTCCTCCCCAATTTGCTTTTTAGTCATGGTGTTTCATCACAGAGAGAGAAACCCTAAGACACCCACAGAAGAAATTCCAGTTGATTGCTCATTTCTAAGTTGGGTCCTTTGTCTTTATATTATTGAATTGTAAGGAATCTTTCCATGTTCTGGATCTAAGTTATTTGTCAGTCGTATGATTTCTGGACATTTTCGGTGTGTGGATTGTCTTATTTTCATGATGAAGGCTTCTGTCCATAATCACTCGGTTTACCCCATTGCTTTGGGTCCTGTGTCAAAGGACCAAATGGAGGGAGGGCACGGTGGGGGGAGAACACAGAATGCTTCTAATTCTAATCCAAGTCTAATTTTCCTGTTTTCTGTCTTCCTCTCTGGTTGTTTGTGCTCTTGGTGTCATAGTTAAGAAACCACTGCTTAGTCTATGATAAAAAGAGTGATTCCTGTACTTCTTCTAAGAGTTTCATCATTTTAGCTCTGACATTTTATTCATGCTGAGCCGATTTTTGTATATGCTGTGAAATGGATGCCTGGATTCATCCTGATGCCTGGGGCTATCCAGTTGTCTGAGCGCCATTGTTGAAAAGACTGTTCCGTCTCCTGTTGAATGGCATTTGCAGTGTTACTGAAAATCAGTTGACCATGAATATAAGGATTTGGTTCTAGACCCTCAGTTGCGTGCTGGAGGTGGAGTAAAGGCTGGGGGTGGGGGGTGGGAGAGGCTTTGAACCTAGGGCCCTGGCTGTGC